GCTTGGGCAGTGTTGGTCCATATAGTGACGTCATTAAAATATCGTTATTTTTCCGGCGAATCTGTGGTATATCCCAGCTGCTATGGAGGTGGTTGTATTTGTATTTTTTATACATCACCCGATATGTAGTTGACCTATAACTTGTACGATGGCCATCTGTTAGATTACCAGTTTCTAGTCATACATTAGTTGACATATTTGTGATTTTCTTTGAATTTCACCTTTAATGAATGTGGTACGTTAAAGAAGATAACTGTAGAGCAGTGGGTTGGCCTAGTGGCATATGTCACGATAAAACGGCACTAATGATGTGACAATAAACGATAACAAGTTATTTATAATGCCATCATATGTAATCGTCAAAAAGGTTTGCGAAACAGGAATATCCTCATGTTCTAATTACACGTGCTTTGAAAGCAAATTGATAATGCTATTATTTGTCTATCATTTCAACAAGCTCCGTGTTGACTTTTTATTCTTGCATCGATTATAGGTGATGAGGATGATGCAAATTTCTGTCAAGGCAGCGCCGAGCAGTGTGCTCACTTCGGTCTTGATTTCGTCTGTGAGGATCCGAATGGAGGATCACTTGGACCTTGTGTCAATGGCACCAAGGTGAAGTGTGCGTCACCACCTGCTGTCCCTCTAGATGATCCCACTCCTGCCACCACGATAAGAGTTCTTGTCTATAACGTCTTTGAGCTACGCTATCTATACTGGCAGAGTGGTCAACGAGAACGTACCTGCCGTATTCCACATGAAGTGTTCAGTATGCATCCAGATATTGACGTCATCGTGTTCAATGAAGTCTTCATGGGAGGTTGCTTTGCCCCTTTCAACGATACTATCGAAACAAGCACTCTTACCATACGTGACATCATGGACCAATATGGATTTATCTATTACACAGAAACCGTTGGCATTGGAGAACCTTTCCCAAAAGTTGAGAATGGTGGAGCATTCATTGCTTCTCGGTGGCCAATCGTTAAGACTAATTCTCGGGTTTTCAATGTAACGGAACCATACTCGTATATGGCTAAAGGAGTTGTGTACACCATGGTTAACAAGACTGTAGATGGACAGAGCGTAATGTATCATGTCTTTGGGACCCACATGCAAGCTTTCCGAACCCCAAATGCAGACGATGTACGAGTTGCTCAGGCAACAATCATTCATGACTTCATGCTGGAGCAGGACATCGGTGATGACGAGCCCGTCATATATGGTGGTGACCTCAATGCCAGACTGAACACGACCAACGGTGATGACGTCGTTCATGCTCTAGACGCCACACTTGCAAGAATCATCGGTGAACTCAACGTCACATACGATCACGAGAACAATGACCTGTTTGACGAAAGTAACGATACAAACTGGTGGTTGGACTACGTCTTGTTCAGTCGATCTCACATTCAACCTGAAGCTGCTACAATACAAGTCGTAAGACCTCGTATGTCTACACCCTTAGAGATTTGCTCCACTGCAATATCCCCTATTCCAAGCTACCCCAAATCTGATCTATGCCTCGAAAGTAAGAACATTACAGACCTGTCTGATCACTACGCCGTTTTGGGTACTTATCATTACAATATGAACTCTCCTCCCCCCACGGACCATCCGACCACGAATTACTCTGGTGTCGGTCATTGTATCCGCAACAATGTACTGGTAGCATTGAGCGTCATGGTAGGGCTAATTCTGATATTCTAACTCAAAGATCTAATCCTTTCTTCTCGAAGATGATTAATTAAATTAAAATCAGAATTTAGATTTTAATGCATGTATTTGACTATCCTATTGATATTTTAAGGCCTTTTTTTATTCATTTTTTCTGATTATAATACACATTCAATTAATATGTATGCCATTAATAAACCTTGAGTAACTTAATAAGAGTGCAGAAGTCAAACCTTGAAAAGAAGTTGAGAAGTATTGACTGACTTGATGTATCAAAAGAGATCTCAGTTATTAAAGTTTATTAAGTTGTCAATAATCCATTTGTATTTGCTTCTCGTTTTGAAATGGTATATTGATTATTTACATAGCAGATGCATTTTCAATGATTACTTTGTAACTTATTTCGATTTTTTTTTTAAATAAAAGTAAAATAACCCAGAAATTTTTGATTATATTTGAATAAATTTAAATTGAACTTTAATTATTCCCGCGATATAGACTATGAACAAATATGTGAAAGATCTTGCCATAAACTAAGACAACTAATCATTGGCAAAACTTCACTTTATCGCATGTCAATATTTATTTCATTGTGTAGGACCTGCATTAACTGTGAATATATGTAAACAGCATTGTGTTCATGTGATCATGAACGATAAAAGACAAGACGCACTTCCTACTACTATCACTATAAATGTAGATTGAATCATCAAATGAACGATTGAACGATTGATGAGTGATTATTAGATGTAGGTATCTGCATTAGAAGTAAGTCTTTATATTGTGTATCTAGGCATGCATATACTCAACAGATCAAAGTACATATGCAAATTGTTAGAGGCGGACTTGTCATGGGGAGTTTGAGGGGAATTCTCCTCGCGGGCATCTTCACATAGTGGCAGTTTGGTGAACGATAATACACTTAAAAAAATATATATATTAGCCTTTGAGTAATAAATCTTTTTGATAATTCATATAATGAGCTGGAATGTTTCATTCATAATTACAATACTAGAAATACTCAAAATATCCATCTCCCTTTAAACCTCATATCAACAACTCATAATTCAATTTGTTACAATCGACCAATTATTTGGAATAACCTCTCATCTAATCTCAAGAATAGTAAGACCGTAAAACAGTCCTCCTGAAATCATAATTGATGAATATTTTGTTGATGTTTTTGTTATGTTTTTTCTGTAATAATTTAGTAATGTAAGATATTTTTTAACAATGTATAATATGTTATGTGTATACTTGTTAAGGGGTCATTTTCAAAAAGCCAATTAGTGCTTTTCATGATCCAGCCACTATTGTTCATATGTTTATGTTATTGATTTGTAAAATGTTTATGAGTGGAAATAAATTGAATCGAATTGAATAACACTACGCTACTCATTACCTACGTTTGCCCAGATAAACAATAACTCGCTTCGCTCGATCGCACGATAAAAAAAATGGACAGTTGGTTTTCGAGCAAGAGACGTCACTTCTAACGAATTCGCGTCTGTACACCTTGATATCCCTGGACGGTGATCTCGTAATTTTGGGGATAAACATCCAATAAAATATGATGGCAGATCGCATCGAAACCAAATCTCACTCCCAGTCCGCCCCTGAGTGTGAATTCCATCATATTGACTGTAGTAGATTTATCATCACGTCATGTTAACAAATTTAACGAGGCAAATGTGGAAATAATGTTTTTCATTAATAATCATAGTTATACTGAAGTATGGACTAGGGTTAATCTGATGGAATGTATACAATTAGGTTTGTTTTTAGAAAACCTTTTTTCGCAGCAAAAGCATTATGGAAATTCATTGAACAGAATTTAATACAAAACATTTTGCATGGTTTACTTTCTGTTTGTGGGCTTGGATTTGTGTGTGTGTGTGTGTGTGTGCGTGTGTGTGTGTGTGAGTTTGTGGGCGATATACTTGTGTTATCGGATGATATGCCACAGCTTGTTTTTTTAATACCTGTACATGAAACTTTTGTGACATTTCGCTTTAATATCCACCCGTGTAAAGAATCCTATAGTAATTATCTTTCTCATGACTGTATGCGTATTGACTTTGCTTCACACTCAGAAGCACCGTTTCAAATTGTAGAATCACTGGAGATACTGCTCCTTCGTTCTTTGGCCCTTGTATATCTTTAGTGCGTTGCTCATGAGGCGCCATTTTAAATGTGTATTGTGAAATCGAGCAGATGAAGGCATCTGGTGCATGAACGAGTAATTCGACGCAATTTTTTTAATGAATGCATTGTTACTCTCAAAGGTCGCGCCAAAGACCGGGAAATGAGTTCTGATCATGCGATTGAATTGTGAAAGAAACGGTGAGGAATTCATCAGAAGAGAATGATCATGTAGCATATAAGTATTGGTGTGTACTGCAAGGTTCTAAAATCATCGAGATGATAAGAAATTTGGCCAAGCCTTGGTAAAAGGAACTAGCACTGTACACAGAAAGATGTACATGGGACGACACAAACATGTGGCATAAAAATCGGGACTCATTTTTAAGCTGCTACTTGTAATATTTAGAATATGAAGGGATTTGAAGAGCCATGCTTTTCAGGTAACATTTTTTCTCTAAAGTTCTTCCACATTTGCATAATAACAATGAAAACGTTCACAATTATTTTTCACCTCTCTTTTCAACCATTCCACGCACTTGATTTACGACTACGATCTGATTGTGGAGGGATTGCAATATCATTTGATATGAGCATTCAAACTTCTAAAATCTTAATGAGCGATTGTTGAATAGTCAGATGATTAATAAAATTAAAATTCTATGGATTTCAAGCTTCCTTGCAGGAGGAATAGCTAAATCGGCTCGGAATCGCAGTGACGTCATATCAGTAGTGCGATTGTCTACGATTTGAAGCCGATTTGGCTTTTATTCTGACGAGAAGCCTTAAATGCGTAATATTCCGGTTGTTAGTATCATTATCATTATTAAGACCCTGCATCATACAGATGATCTTTGTTTAGATTTCTATAGCTAATATAGTTGTCATTTCCTCGGAAATCGGATCGCAAGAAGATCGTATAGTGTGCGGTGGGCTTTACCCTCTAAAACTTCAAATCTGAGATATTTTGATAGGCTGAGGAATGACGACTTCTTCAATACAAAAACACATGCTAAATCCAACCTTCATAGAATTGGATCCAAGTTGGATACAAGTGTCAATGTACCAGCTTGAAATTGATGTCACTCCTCAGCCCTTCTGACTGTTGGTTGAACGCTCACAGGTGTTTTTGGTATTACGTCATACAAAAAGATGTCTCGTGTGCAACGGTTGTTATTCATTCAATTTCAATTTATTGTCCAATATTGGAAATGTCCTTTGCTCACATTTTACAAACGTACAAAGAATCAAAATAAGTTTACATACGTAATAAATCATATAGTTTGACATAGAAATTCTTCAGAATATTGCTTTACAGAATTTTTTTTTCCTACGTTATTATAAAATAAAATAAGTGAATTATATTATATGTTCGAGAGAACGGGGTGGCCCGGAAACGTTACAAAAATAAACATTACAGAAATAATAATTCCCTTTGCGCTCGAGACTTCATTTCATTACGCCCACTGATTCAAAGAAATTAATATATTTTTAGGATATTCTTTGAAAAATCCAATTTTATCGTCACATGTCAAATGTCTTTTATTTCTAAATTCAGACGTCATGATTTTGTAATGTCATACGGTCATTAATTCAAGTTGCTACATGCAATTTAACAACTATTCATTATTTTTTAATTTCTTGTGTTATCTTTGTTATGTATTTGGGAATTGTTTGCGATAGAAATTTTGCAAGAGCTTTTATTCCCTAAGAGCAAACAAAGCATCAATCTTGGATGTTGAATAATAAACAGGCGACAGACAATAAAGAGGTTTTCTGAATGAAATGTATTTGTTATTATGATATTTTGTACCTGATCTATTTTCAAACACGACCAAATTAAATTAACATCAAATAAAAACTGACAACACATATGACGTGAAGCAAAGTTGTTCCAAAGTGATAAAGGCACAAAGATGATAAAGGGAAAAGATTGGGTTTCTTATTAATCCGCTTCCAAAATTGCCTAGTATTCTACTCTACTTGCAAATAAATAAGAAAACAAGAATTGCATTAAAGATATACTTACTTCATGTAATTGTATTAGGACGCCGGAATTAATGTACTTGTGGTTGACTGTGATCGTAGTCACATAGAATCTTGGCAACCCTCTGATTAAGTCTCGTTTAACAAATTGTATTTTACTTGGATTACGACACTTACTTCGTTAACCGTTTTAATTTTGATTTCATCACTTCTAGTTAAACAAAAAGCCTAACAATAATCGTATTCCAGAATTCATTTATTTAATTTTCTCATTGGATAAATGCAAAGACATACCACATCAGAAATATCATAGACAGATACTTATTGGATCTTAACAAATTAGAGCCGGAATTGGTAGTTGTCATGTCTTCAGGCCGTGAGGTCATTAACGGAGGCGATGACGTCATGCTGCCGAACTCGAAGACGCCCAGAACAGCATAGTGATCTGCTAGATCTGTAACAGTCCTATTGGCAAAACACCTCACAGAGTCGGCATAAGTTGGGACTACTGCCAATGACAACATGCAGACATCAAATGGTTGTTGAGATCTTGGTCGAACCACTTCCAGGGTAGCGATTTGTGGTTGAAGGTGGGTTTGACTGAATACGACATAGTCGATCCAAGACGTGCTGTTTGAGATGAGAAGATCGTTTTCAGGTCCGTCATAGGTGTAAATTCGTTCTCCGATGAAGTCTGGAATGGTTGCACCGAGAACCTGTATGACGTCATCGCCGTGCTGCGTTCCGTTTTTGGCATTTAGATCTCCTGCATAGATGACTGGCTCGTCGTCGGAGATATTCTGCTTTAACATAAAATTACGCATTTCTAACGCCTGGTTAAGGCGGATGGTATCAGCTGAATCGCGCGATGTCGCTTGAAGGTGTGTTCCTAGAATGTGATAAGTCATGCTATTACCGCCAACAGTTTTCTCAACCATAGCATAAACGGCACCTTTCCCTGATATTGCGTCGGCCGTTGCCGGAACAGAGAACCTGTATATGGAGTTGTCTTGCTTAATAATAGGCCAGCGAGAGGCTATAAAGACACCGCCATTTTCAAGTTTGGGTAGCTGCGGTGGGTCACCGACCGTATCGGTATAGTAGATGAAACCATACTGTGTCAGAATGTCTCGAAATGTGAGTATGCTGGCTCCAATGCTGGAATTGAACTCTGAGAAACATCCTCCCATGAAGGCCTCGTTAAAGACGATCACATCAACGTCAGGATGCAATCGGATGACCTCACGAGGGATGCGACAGGTTCGTTCTCGTTGTCCATTCTGGTAATAGAGATATCGCAGCTCCCAGACATTGTATGCTATGACACGGAATGTTGAGACTGGGGTGGGAGCAGCGAGAGGGATGGGTAGTGGAGAGGCGCACAGGACTTTGGTTCCTTCGGTGCATGGTTCGAAGTCACCACCGTTGGGATCCTCACAGATGAAGTCTAGACCAAAGAGGGCACAAGACGTCTCATTTGCTTGGCATGCGTTGATATCTTGTTCATCACCTGTATCAATAACAAAAAGATAGAAGAAAAAGTAACGATAGGGAGTGATACCTCAGTCAAAACTATGAGACCAACCTGACAATGTAACAAACTATTTTACTGTAAATGGTCAAGCTGAAGTCGGTTAACGGTCTGTCTGAAGTCGGTTGAGATTTTTGACCGAGGTGTGAAGAAAGAAAGATATTGAAAACGACTTCTTATTTATAGTGTATTTTATCAAAACAATGTGTGGAGTAAACCAGGAAATAAAATATTAAGACAAAGTCATATTCCTGAAAACTCGGTGGCTTTTCACCAGGGCTTATAAAGGATGGCTCCTCGAGGTAAAGGCTGCTTCATAACACAACATTTTATATCATAATACTTCTAGTAAATGAAAGACTGATTAAACTGTTTTTGTTTAATTTCCAAAGTTTGTACATGACTGTATGTGTACATTTATACAAGTTGTTAATAACATACAGATAAGTTATTAATGATCATCTCTCAGTCTGTTGTTATTTTCTACATTTTGTTCGTTTATTTTTATAATGTTAGCTTGGAAAAAGATAACTTTTTCGTCAAACAACATAAAAAACAATCAATACTTGTATCAATAATATTATCCAAGGCTCATAAGCATATTATTACATTTGTTGCAAGACTTACCCAACCACACAGTTGGTGTCCCCTCCTCTACATAACATGATCCTGAAAAGTAAACAATAGTGTCAATTAAAAGAAATGTATAAAAGTAGAACACACTTAATGGCGTAGGGTAAGACATTGTACACATTATAGCAACATGAGCAATAATTCTTTAATAAGTGTGTTTACAAGGGTGATGTCGTAGCTGTGTTGATCACTTATTTCGACGTAGAAGGAGAAGGCGGTAGCGGTGGAGGATTAATAATAAGAATTTAATGTAGAAAAAAAGAAGAAACAATGATAAATACTTGTGTCTTATGTACCCATACAGGGTAGCCACATCAGTATCGATTCTGCTCATCCTGCGAGCCCTACAATTATTATTTTCCCGGCGATTAACAGGTACCCATTTACACCTTGGTGGAGCGTGGTAAATATGGACAAAGGACAATATACTGGGGAGGGATACGAACTCTAAACCCTTTTATTGAGAGTCAAGTGAATGGGCGACTGTATCCACGACACCTCCACATGGAGAATGTGTGGCTTCAGATGTTCATGTATAGTAGTATCGTTTGTTTTACAACCGTTAGTTCTTGATTTATCTTTCGATATATTTTTCCAACAGCTACATCAGATTTCCTTTACTCCATTCCGAATTATATCAATTAGCAATGCCTGGTAAAATCCCGGTTAAAATACTTCTTTGCAATGTGGTAATTATAGTATGTTCATTCACACGCCATTAACGATTGTAAAGAGACAAACGTAATGACATACAGTGTAATAATACAAACTTTATCACGCCAGTGAGAAAAATTGCAAACAATTCTTCTCTTTAAAATGACTATGCGATAACAAAAAAGGAAAGATATTAATTAAGTAATAGTCACCTTTGACCTGGGCGGCAAGGACTGATACCGTAGCTACGAAGTAGAATGATAGTAAATGCATGTCTAAGATCTGATGATATCAACGACGTACCAAAACATCAAAACAAGCTCTAGTCAACACCAATGAGTAGAAATTTAGAACGGAATCACAACTTAAACAGTTTATATCAAATTGGTCTGAGAAGCACTGATAACAATTATAGATGTGCCAGAGAACTGATAATAATCTTGGGACAACTCAGCACTGCTAACAGAAGCAATCGGAGCAAAGTTCAGAACACAGTTCTATAAATAGTCGTAATATAATGTTGTTTGTTTGGTTGGTTAGATATTAGTAGGTCCATGGTTAAATTGTGTTTAATTTTGAGGATTTGCTTCATTTGCATCTCTAGTGATGCTCTTTTCTGTTAAAGAGAAAATTAAAATGATTTCGTGACATCAGAGAGCAAAATAATAATGGACATCGTCACTAAATAATCAGAGGGATTTATCTGAAGAAGAAAAGAAAATCCAGTTAAATTATCTTAATTTCGATAAATGTACTTTTACAACTACATACACTAGTCAAGTCAAGCAACTGATTGTCTAAAAAATTTATTTGAGAAAGATGGTTGTGTTTGCATGCAATGACGTCACGACGATATTTTTTTATGGGAACGCGGGAATATTAAACAAAATTAGACGACAAGTGTAAAAGAAAAGAAGAATCCTCTTTTGAAGGAGCACGATTCAGCAGCCATGACAACCCCCTCTATATATCAACACCGGTATGTGTATGTTAGAGATGATATGTTAGCATACATAATATCAGAACTAATCCCAGTAGGATTGGACTTTTACCCTCGAGCTGATACAATTTACAATACTTAATTAGACACATTCGTAATTATAACAAGTATGTCCTTATATTCTCGACCTTTCGAAAATGGTTGTGTTTCTCCTCATAGTGTATTGACAGAGATTATTTGCGTACGTTCTTACTTAGCAAATTGGTTTGATATCTTACCAGTTTGATATGAAGTGAATTAACGAGAGATAACCTCCTGTGACTGATCAAGCGTTAAGATAAAAAACATATTTTCAGCTTACAGACCGGGCCAGTTTGACGAACTTTTACATTTTTTAAGAGTTCGAACTATCTATCTGATAACACAGTGCATAACGAAGTGTCTCTATAATTATGTTCTAGAACTTGATTGAAATAGAAGATGAGAAAGGTGACTTTAGATTAAAGCGTTTTACGAGACATTGTGGTTACTCAATTGAAGGCAAGCGTCTACGCCTCACCAACAATTAATATACCGATGTATATCGTAGCAAAGTGAACGTTCATATACAAAATGCTGCCTTTGCATGTGTATAGACATATAAATATGTGTGATATAATGACATTTTGTTTTACTGTTTCTCTCTATCTGTGTCTGCTCCTTTTCTCTCCCTCCTCATATGTTGCCGTATCACGCACATAATATCCACAAGCACACAATCAGGTCCTCTACTCCGATACCGACAAAAATTGTAGTTCAAAATAGGAAATTAAACACATGGTAATTTGAAAACCGTATTGGATCCAGATGTATTCTTTGTTTCTTTTATTAGAATGAGTGTAATTATCGACTGAAATTACCCGTTTTATTTAACTATCACATTTTAAATTTGTATGATTATATCTAACCTTAAGGCCTAATCCTAACCGCCAACCACATGGTTATCTGAAACCCTGAATTTTTAATTTATGGTCAGGTAAAAGATCAATATACAATATTATGTAAAATGGTTTGGCGGAATCGTAAACAGGTAAATGTGAATCGAGATTGACTTCAGATTTGGCATACCTGAATATCAACTGATATGATACTTTGGCTAAGAGTTTCTGTTTACTATTCTGAAAATCAGGCATCAGATTTTAGAATGTACAATTTGAATTATTAGAAAGTGATTCATCAAGCGAGTGAGAATCTCAGAATAAAACATACGAATATGCTGAGAGATGCGATCATTTGGTTTAAAATAAGGCACCCAACCCCAGAATCAGTCGTCGTCTGATATTCTGTGGAAGTAAGGGAATCCATGTTGTAATGGAAAGTCCCTAGAACTGCATAATGATCAGACAGGTCTGTGATGTTCTTTCTTTCGACGCATAGATCAGATTTGGGGTAGCTGGGGAGAGGTGATATGGCCGTGGAGCAAATCTCTAAGGCTGTAGACATACGAGGTCTTACGATATGTATTGTAGCAGCTTCAGGTTGAATGTGAGATCGACTAAACAAGGCATAATCCAACCACCAGTTTGTATCGTTATTGTCGTCAAATACGTCATTGTTCTCGTGATCGTAGGTGACGTTGAGTTCACCGATGATTCTTGGAAGTGTGGCGTCTAGAGCGTCGACGACGTCATCACCGTTTGTTGTGTTGAGTCTGGCATTGAGGTCACCGCCATATATGACGGGCTCGTCATCACCGATGTCCTGCTCCAGCATGAAGTCGTGAATGATTGTTGCCTGAGCAACTCGTACATAGTCTGCATTTGGGGTTCGGAATGCTTGCATGTGAGTCCCAAAGACATGATATGATACGCTCTGTCCATCTACAGTCTTGTTAACCATGGTGTACACAACTCCTTTAGCCATATACGAGTATGGCTCCGTTACATTGAAAACCCGAGAATTAGTCTTAACGATTGGCCACCTAGAAGCAATGAATACTCCACCATTCTCTACTTTTGGGAAAGGTTCTCCAATGCCAACGTTTTCTGTGTAATAGATAAATCCATATTGGTCCATGATGTCACGTATGGTAAGGGTGCTTGTTTCGATGGTTTTGTTGAAAGGGGCAAAGCAACCCCCCATGAAGACTTCATTGAACACGATGACGTCAATATCTGGATGCATACTGAACACTTCATGTGGAATACGGCAGGTCCGTTCTCGTTGACCACTCTGCCAGTATAGATAGCGTAGCTCAAAGACGTTATAGACAAGAACTCTTATAGTGGTGGCAGGAGTGGGATCATCTAGAGGGACAGCAGGTGGTGACGCACACTTCACCTTGGTGCCATTGACACAAGGTCCAAGTGATCCTCCATTCGGATCCTCACAGACGAAATCAAGACCGAAGTGAGCACACTGCTCGGTGCTGCCTTGACAGAAATTCGCATCATTCTCATCACCTGTTAATGAAACAACCACAAAAACATTATTTTCCATAATTCTTATTCTATTTTTTTTAATGCATTACTGAAGTTTAAGGGTTTTAACGCCTTCTTATCTTCATCAATATTTTTCAGGAAATTTATTTTACGTTTTATCCATACGAATGTCCTTGACAGACGTGACGGCCATAATGTGCAAATGACAGTATGTGCCTTTAATCATTGTTCCGCTCTTATCTTACCGTAATCGGTTAATACATTACAGCAGCAGAACTACAAGTTATTACATATATTGCTCAAACGATAATCACTCCCTCACATTTCGGGCACCTCCAGCACAAAGCGTTCGGTATTGTGGCTAAAGAACATACCATATTATTTTGTTTTGTTTCCAGATACTGCTTAAAGTTGTACTGATAACAAGAACCTGAATAGATAAGATTGCTTGAGCACACACAAACAAATCTATTCTTTTATTCCGGATTTTTCTAAATCTAGTCTTGATGAAAATGAGCTTTAATTCTCTATCTTGGCCTACTTTAAAAACAAATCTTTTTACACGAGATAAAATGATCAACTTAACTATTTACTTAAGCTTAAAGATAAAGATGAGTTCTGGGCATACGATTGCATTGTGATAGAAACGGTATGGGATCAATCAAGAAGTTGACCATGTAGCATATAAGTATTGGTGTGTACTGCAAGGTTCTGGAAGCCATCAAAATGATGAGAAACTTGGCCTAGTCTTGGAAAAGTAACAAGCACTGTACAAAGAAAATGTGTATGGGACTATACAAACATGTGGCATAAAAATCGGGCTTCGTTTTTAAGCTGCTACTTGTAATATTAAGAATATGAAGGCATAATAACGATGATAACGCTCCCAAATTATTTTTCACCTCTCCCCAGAACTCAACCTTTTCTTTAAATGTGGAGTTTGTCGATAATTATCTCAGACAGGAAATTATTCAAAACTACTCACCAAGCCAGACTGTTGGCTGCTTCTCATCTATATCGCAATTCTGACCTGTACAAAATATATATAAAAAGGGATATTGAAGAAAATTAAAGTAATGATCCTGTCTTCGGTGGACTTTGGAAAATATCGGAGAATATTTCGATCGTTAAAAGCTACCAAACTATGATCTCTATAAAATGTTCTCTATTTTCATATTTGTCTGTCCATCCTAGCCCCTCTCTCTCTCTTTGATTCGTTTCAATCTATGACTCTTATTTTCGACCCTTCATAAAAACGATTGAATAATTGTACATATATGTTATATATTACCATAGTGAGCTCCATAATTTCAGATATAGCACAAACATTTTATAGACATGAATATTGGCTATTCATCAATTGAGGGGAAACAGGCAAGGGGTCTTTAATTTTACAATGGTCATTCTGTGCAGCATTGCCGATTCCTCTTTTACAAATGATTGTACATTCTATACATTAATTCGTACTTTCGCATAAAACATGTAAGAAAGCTAGCTTACCCTGTACGATGGAACAAGCTGCAAAGAATATAATACTCCATGAAACCAAACTCTGAGACTGGTGAAGAATACCCATCTTGAAAATGTGTACAGTGACTACTGATAGAGTCCCGAAATACTTCCTATTAACGCTGATCTCTAAATCTTGTTATCATGAACAAATGCTCAGTATTGGTAAACATTTTTGACTGTTCTGGAATGTAATCAACTGGATTACCTCGACCAAGATTTTAATGAGATAACTAAATTACAGTTTAGTGCCGATTCATGACAGCAGCAATTAAAACTAATTGAACGTCTCGTTGTATTCTCGGGGAACAAAGGGGCGTTTTGGTTTTGCTTCTTCCAAAACATTGGTATTAACACGAAAAAGCTTCTTTTTGCAAAAATTATATTAACACATTAACCTATGACTAGTATTTAGCGCCAAAATGGCACCAGGTGCAAAGAATAGATGATCATGACCAAAGCTCAGATCTACATTATGGTAGGGTATAAACAGTTCCAATCACATTTACCGAACGTCGAATATGGCTCACTCTGGGCAAGGACCAAGCTGTGATGTGAGATGTCATCTGTTGGAAGATGTCACGGAATAGGGGCCGATGACACCACAACATTATTTACCTTAGCTGATATTTTATTTGTTTAATATCCAATTATGAAGAAAAACAAGAGTGGCGATGCAAGGTGGTTGCAGTTGTCTCATGATGATAATTAAGATGATTAAAATGATTATGATGATCGGGGTGACGATGATGAAAAGTACAAATAGAAGCTTGTTGGTGTCATGAAAAAGTCTACGTTCGTGTACTTTCAAATTTCTCTCTCTCTCTCTCTCTCTCTCTCTCCTGTACCCTCCATTTTGTATACATCCCCACATTGAGATTCCACGTCGGACTTGTTACGCCTATCTCAACAATCCATTATTTTCACAATCCTTTTACGAAGTTCATTCTTTCTCATGATTTCCCCATGAGGGACCAAACAGTTCAAGAAATCAGTGGCAATAAAAACATGATGAGAATAGGAACCGAATCATATGGAATGAATATTTGCACATAAATTTCATTTTAGTTCATATGAAGTTTTGTGACAGCAAGATCACATCCATTTATTCATAAAAGGAATAAAACATATTAATATCGTTTCTAAGAAAATAGATAAAATTAATGATTGAACATAGTTGTCGTATATCGAATGATTTAGCACATAGTTGACTAACTGTTCACTGGAATGTGATAAACAACCTTCATTTTCTTAAGTCATTATAATAGGTTAGATTATACATTTTTATCAGCAGAGATATTCCTTTAAAACAATGGCTGACAGTATCGAAAAAAAGAAAGTAGTCATGCAAAGAAGACGAGTCTGACTAGTGGCACCTGACTCTGTAGTCATGGTGGAAGGAGATACGCCTGACTCCGTCGTTTCATCCGATTCTGAAGGCTCAAGGGTGTCGGGGTTCGTCGTCTCAAGCCCACTTGACTCGGTCGTTATCATTTTGTTATCAAACTTGTAGACACCGATGACTGCAAAGTGATCCGCAAGATCGGTGATGTTTTGACTCCTTCGACATCGGTTAGAGTCTGGATAAGTAGGGAAGGGTGAGATGGCCTCCATGCAGACTTCGAAGAACTCTGATGCCCTAGGGCGTAATATTTCTTGAGAAGCTGCTATCGGATGGAGGTAGTCGTCATGGTAGATTACGTAATCCTTGTAAGATGCGCTGTCACCGTCTCTAGCATCGTTGAGCAACCCATCCGTGGTGTAATTGAGCTCACCTATGATCAGTGGGACCACGGCATGAAGGGCTTCTAAGATGTTGGCAGTGTTGGAGCGTGGTTCCTTGTCATAGTAGTTTGCGTTAAGGTCTCCTGCGTAGATGACAGGCTCATGTGATGAGAGTGTTAGATTCACAACCAAATCGTGCATTTCCGTGGCCTGATTTACCCGAACCCTATCAGCATTAACCCCTTTGGATGCCTGTAAGTGGGTTCCAAAGATGTTATAATGTCGGTTTGATCCATCCACCGACTTCAGAACCCGAGCATACTTTGCACCTTTTGCTGATAGTGCGTCTGCGGTGGTCTTGACCGCGTCCGTGTAGATCGTCTCATCTTCGGCGACTATTGGCCACCTAGAAGCAATGAAGACACCACCATTCTCAAACTTGGGAAGTTCCCGCTCCTCTCCAACCGTCTTAGAGTGGTATATGAAACCATGCTGTACCAGAATATCTCGAATGGTAAGAGTGCTCATCTCAACTGTTGAATTGAACTTGGAGAAACATCCTCCCATGAAGGCCTCGTTGAACACAATCACATCGATGTCTTGACGGAGACGCAAGAGCTCATGGAGAATACGACAGGTTCGTTCTCTTTGTCCGTTCTGATAGTAGAGGTATCGAAGCTCCCAGATATTATAGATAACGACACTGAGTTCAGACGAAGGTGTTGGGTCAGCAAGAGGGATGACATCTGGAGAGGAGCACAGGACTTTTGTGCCGTTGATACATGGCTCAAGAGAACCACCGGATGGGTCTTCACAGACAAAGACAAGACCGAAATTAGAGCACTGCGATGAATCTGCCTCGCAGTACGTGACGTCATCCTCATCACCTGGGATAATTCAGATGGGAAACAAATGAAATAGAGAGTATAGTAAGAAAATATCAATCGACTACGAGGGTAATGGTGCAAACTACCATCGCCGAGGTGATCTCGGGGCTACTATCTTCCCGAGCCGCAAGGAGGAATATAATAACTACTAGATCTATTTTCTTTTATCTATTACTTTTTGTTTAGTTTCATTGTCTGTTTAATTCATGTTGTTTCGGTTTGTTATTCAATGATCCAGTCATCAAAAGACCTATTCAAAACAAAGCAGAAATTTATTATCTGTATAACCCTATCCTGTATATTCTAAATTGGCAGCTATATAAACTACAATGTTTTGAATTCATGATGTGTTTTCTGTGATATTGTTTGGCTTGGTTTCATTCTAATATTAGCCTGATGAGAAACGAACATAGAAAGTGAAATAACAAAGCGAAAGAAAGCACTTGCAAATGATTCAAATTTGATATTTACCGAGCCATACTGATGGAGTGCCTTCCGGGATTTGGCAATCTTGATCTGGGTGAGGAAAAGAGAAGGAGAGATTAGGATTGATTGAGAAGGGGAGGGAGACGAAGAGATGGAGAGAGAGGGAGAGAGAGAGGGGGGGGGGGGTGAGAGAGAGAGAGGGGGAGAGAGAGAGAGAGAGGGGGCGTGTCAGACGGACCAAAAATGAAAATTGGGTCTTAATGATGCAAAGCCAAGTATTTGCTTGTCATATAAAAGGGCCCTACAACATGAAGGAATACAAAAGGTTTTTCACATTCAAGTCTATTGAAAGCATCCTACCGTATTTCAAGAAAATAGAAGACATTCTATACTAGGTCTGCATTCCCGAGAAGACACGCGAACTTGGTCATTATAGTCTAGAGCTCCATTCGGTTTAAAATTTCTTCATTCATCGCCCCCCCCCCCTTGATATGTGATCCGATGATCTGGTGACTTGTGAGAGCAACTTTTGTTAAAGTGATTCAATCCAGAATGTAAGACATTTAGATTGGCGCCCCCATTTGTACTTATGTGCGAATATAAATAGAACTGGGCAAGCTAATAATATTGATTGCCATGTACGTATATTAAAAACAAAAAAACACGCGTACGGCTCTTCTGAAGATGATTTGCAATCATTTTACTCAGTCATTATAAACTTGACTTCTATGTTCATTGATAATAACAGGAGGGTATGCATGCCAGTAACAATTTTGCGAGGTTTTATTTAGAAGAACGACGCAACATCCAATTTTACATACTTTCTTACGATTGCTCTTAAAAATGTCCTCATCATTTTGTAGCTTTTGCACTTTATTATGTTGATCAAAGGTTTAGTATTGAAAGATACACTCATGCATGTACTCGACCTATTAGAGTTATCGCTATATTATGAGAGTCATTTAATTTATTCGGACTACATTCCTATTATCATTCTTTTCTTTATTGACATTACGTATTTACTTTGCATCATTAATGCCAAACCTATATGCCTGCCTACTTAAGAAATTAAACAAGGTTTTGAAACGCAGAAGGGACAGAAATGTATGCCAACATTGCACAAATATTTGTTCTCTATATACATGTAAATTTACGAATTTTCTCTCAAAGTTCTGCCGTAAAAGAAATAGCATTTGAGCATGGACTTACCAGCATCACAGTGTATTATCATCGAAGTAATGAAGGCGAAGACCAGCAATAATGCCTTCCTGAATACCGCCATTTCGGATTATTTTGTTTTCAATAATGACAGATTTTTTAAACGAGTCTTACAAGTTAATATTTCTGATAAGATATCCTGATTACAATGTTTGTAAAATTATCTCTGGTCTTTGGATTTTGTATCCTATGGATCACAACCAGATCAACAGTGCATGTCTTTTTTTAATACAGGTCACCTAAAGGGGTCGCTATAATCCATTTTGAAGATAGACTGGCTGATAGACTGATAGGGTGTATATTTTGCGGACAGGTTATAATGTTAGATACAAGAAATAGTGGGCTTTGTTGTAGTTGTTTTTTCTTACCTAGTGAAATTATTCCCTTTAGCAAAAAGGCAAAAATCATGGGAAGTGAATTACGGGGGACATTTTTTATTTGTTTGTATTTATTCATTTATTTGTTTATTTATTTATATATATATATATTTTTTTTGGGGGGGGATCTTAATCGAAGAAGAAAAAAAGAAAAGAAGGAAAAAATTAATGATAAACGGAGAGAAAAAAAAAGAGATTAAAAATGGGGAAATGGACAATAAAAGAAGACGATAAGACCCAGCTCGGCTCCCACCCCCCCTCCTGTCAGAGGCTTGTAAATTAGTATATCATTTTGCAAGTGAGATCGGTACCCCCGCCCCATAATGCCAGTCAATGGCCGGACTAACGCTATGCCTATGCAGTGTTACCATCAAAAGGTGTTTATAGATCAATCTTTCGGTTGTTGGGTGCAAGGGGGGGGGGGCAGGTACAATAATCGGAAACTTAACTGCACTTGAGTGTGGGAGATAAGGAAAATCATTGCCTTTTAATAAAGAAAAAAAATTCGGACACGCTATGTTTATAATTATAAACAAAACAATCCTGCAGGACAGCAGGAAAGTATAGGGCCACATCAACAAAATAGAAACATAAATATATATATATATTAAACCATGACAGCTAATCCCTTAACAGGCCTGTCTATCATGGGAAACACCTCGACGATTCCCTTGCTCTGCTGTGAAGTACCGTGATAGCATAGATCCAGCCAGGGACGGCCGAGTGACTTCCAAAATGGGGAGGGGGGCACCAAGAAAAAGGGCACCTACAAAGGGACATCTCAAAGCGAAAATATTCAATTTTTAAGACGTTGGTATGTACCCTTTACATTGTGATTACATTATCAGGGATGATTTCAATATTTGTTTCACGTTTGTAACTCATACAAGATATTGCTTAAGCACCATACTTTGCAGTTGGGTGTGATGGTCTGAAACTTAATTTACGAGGGAGCGAAGCGAGCGAGGAAAAATTACATCTTATAAAGAGGAAAAGATCCAATCCTGATAGGGTTATAAGCATATTCTCATAACGGAATACGACAAAGGCCTTTGATAAGTAACATAAGTATATCATCTATAAATGCAAGCGAGCTTTATGGGAAATTGCTCTTAGTCCCTTGAAATTAGGGGCACGTTTAATGATGAGAGGAAAAGGGGCGCTTTTGGGAATAAAAAAGGGGCACTTATAATAAAGGAAAATGTGCATTAGTTGAAAGAAAATGGGCAACGACCAGATTTTAATAAGGGCATTTGTTGAAGTGAAGGGGGCACTTATCTCAAGTGCAAAGGAGTAACTTCTCGTATCTGAATAGGGTCATTTACCAGAGATCAAAGGGGAAATTTATAAGAAGGGATAGGGGCTCTTTTTTAATGGGGACACTTATCATTAGGACAAGGGGCGAATGTTAAATATAAAGTGCGCTTATCTGAGCTAAAAAGGAAAAGGGGCACTTGTCAAAGTGAAAGAGACACCTCTCAGATTTAAATAGGGCAAAATATCAAAAGTGAAGGGGGCACTTTTACAAATTAATAGAGGCACTTGTCAAAGTAAAAGGGGCATTTTTCGGGTACTTGAAAGGTGGGGGCACTGTGTCAACCCCCTGCCCCCCCCCCCCCGGAGGGCCGCCTCTGGGTCCAGCTATTGTGGCTGTTAGGTGAAGGGGCGCTGGTCTTATAAAATGGCCATTTCCCCTTCCCTTGGGCATTACTGAATACTTTCTCTTCAGTCTTCTTTTTTCCCCTCGCCACCATGAAAGCAGGGATGAGGAGGGGGTATACAACCCCCACCTATACTGTCACGCAGCACCTTTACCTTGAAGTAAACCAATAATGATTGTCCATTGCTGTCATGATGATGTGGTGTAGGTCGTTCCTGTTATGTACATTATAATGTCAAACTTGTTTGTGTTTATCGTCACGAAAGCCTGCAAGGCCTAGTTTGTCTCTAACTCCCAGTCCTATAGGGTTTTTATGATGAGGGGTTTTAAGTATTGATTTAATACTAACTGATGAATTGATAGCAGTTAGTCAATTAAATTTCTTGGGGAAACAAAGGCTACTAAAACCAGTTCATTCAAAGCCTAATTGAAGCAGAAGCCGAGCGTACTCATTATAAAGAGCATATAATGCGGCGATGAGTGAAAGAAAAGGAGACACAAGAGCACCCTTTATTGAGTTTGGAAAGTCGTATAGGCCAAACATTAATAGATGGCAGTGATGATTTATTTTAAATGGTTCTTTACAAGTAATGTGTATATCCTCTGTCAGGAAAAAAACAAAATAAATCTTTCCAATCAGTATACCGGTATGAAGTTTACTGGCCAACGGATGTTTCATAATTGTGAGAGAGCATCGTTCAGGCAGGCCACACATACAGCAGCTGCAGTCGAAGTACGGGATGCTAAAGGAGACAGCACAAGCTGAGATCGAGAGAGTATTTTGCTCATTCGCGTTTGCTCATCGTCAGAAGCGTTATTTCGCAACTTGCTACGATCGGGGAAGCACGTCCGTGGATTACGCTGTGAAAGATCTCAGGATGTCAACATACCAGTGTTTGTGTCTACGGTATCTTCTAAACTTGGAAATAACGTCATATGTAATCATCTCGTGACCCTTCCGTGTTTTTGCATGGTTTGTACTGCACAGGGGCATCGGTTTCGACAGCCCATGCCCCGTAAAATTCGCCCAAAAACTCCCGGCGATAAAAAGGAGCCCAAAACAGATGGTCCACAGTCAATTCACAGGAGGAATTTTCAGTGTGCAAGCTATCCAGTGATTTTACTGTTCAGCTTACTTCGTTTTATTCTGTTTCAGCTGTGGATGCTTATCACAGAGGCAGTTTCTCGAGTCAGTACACGGGAAAGCTTCGGCATGGTAGACAGCGGCAAAACGGGGTATGGTCCCCTGAAAAATGACAAGGAGGATAATGGGAATGCTATGACAGGAGTAACAATTAATCCTTCATCGTCTTCCAATTCAACGTCAAATGGAACTAAGTTGGATCCACAGCTGTCAAAGCAGAAACAACATCATAAAAGAGCATTTGAGTATTTATCTAAAGCTCTCAAAATAGATGAGGAAGATAAAGGTTTGTGAATGTGTGAATTAAATGTTGTATTTAAGAAATAATTAATAACATGTCAACAACATGTAATAAAAGAATCTCTAGAGAAGTCTATCTGTATAATAATAATAATAATAATAATATCAGATATTTATATAGATCTAGCGCACATATCCACCATGCAAGGTGCTCAAGGCGCTCCAAATATACTTTACTTTACTTTACTTTAATCCATCGATGTTGGATCATCATTCATGGACAAACTCTGGAGCATGCAGATACAGAGAACCTCTCTGCTAAGCTTTAAGAGAGAGAGAGAGGTACTCGAGATCCAGTTCCGTTAAACTACGGATGTCTTTTTAACTGCACATAGCTCATTGTAGACCTTTTATAAAGACACCACATGTATATATACACCTGCACAGCACCTACAATCAGTACGAGAATACACCCGACGGTAGCCTGTACTTATAGCGAAGAAGAAGAAGTTGGTAGGACAGAGCCTGTTCATTGATCGATTGAATTCCTTTGCATCAATACTTCTGTTTGTTGTGGTTTCGTGTCGAGGTGTGTGTGTGGAGGGTGGAATAGTTCTGCATTCTTCTATTTACTTTCAAAGTCATATACTGAAGGTGAATTCTTCCAATAGTTATCAAGTTTGTTTTTGAAGGCATTTACAGATGGGGCATTAACCACTTCTTCAGATAGGCTATTCCATGTGTCCACTACTCTATTCGAGAAAAAGAATTTCCTGATGTCCAGATGTGAAAATGTCTTCTCTAGTTTCAGAGTATGGCCTCGTGTTCTGTTTTCCTTGCATAAGTGTAGTAGGTTTGTCTGAGTGGTGTATAGGCCATGGAGGTACTTGTAAACATCAATCATATCTCCTCTCTTTCTGCGATGGGCAAGAGACGGTAGCTTCAGGTATCTCAGACGTGTTTCGTATGGAAGATTCTTCAGACTAGGTACCATCTTTGTAGCTCTTCGTTGGACGCTTTCAAGTCTCTTCTGTTCACCTATCCTGTATGGTGACCATGCAGCTTGTCCGTACTCCAAGACAGACCTTACAAGGCCTATGTACAAGAGTTTGTGAATGATCTTCGTATCACCCCCAGTAGCCTGTTAGACCTGGATATAACATATATTATCAGATTAAAGATTCTGTATCAATCAGCTTAGGCAGCATAGCAAAATGTAATGGTTTGAGACTAAAGATGTGTCTGGAAGTGGAATGCTAAACCGTAATTATTGGTACTGATGTCGGTGAATAAAATATATAATCTACATGTATCCTTGCTATCTGAATAACGGTTTCATACAGTTAATGAAGTTAATGCAATCAAGTAGAAGAGGTATTTATCGTTCTTTTTGTTGTGCTTCAGTAATGATTAGTGCTGTAGTCAAACTTTTAACCGTCCGTTATCCGACCGTCTATGGCACTATCCGTTTTCAATTGGACATTTTTGTTCTCCTGTTTTTTTAATTTTGAATATATTTGTTTAAATATTTTTTTTTTATAGGAAATCAAAAGAAATCACATTATCAACAAATAATGTACATAATTTGAAACAAAATCACTGAACAAAAACAAGTTTGGGCGACATTATAGTCATCATAAGTCAGCCCTGACTGTTGAATGTTGAATTGCAGAGCAACAATCTACAAGATAACTATCAGTTGCAAGATTGTAGATTGAGAAGTTGACTCGTAAAACTAAGGCTGCGTTTAAGCTCAATTTTGAAGGCAGAATGAGCTATATGAAACACTCATCGTAAACGCTCATCGTAATCGCAGTTCCACGGTGTACTGTTTATGCTCACTTCTTTGGCTCCTTCAGGCAATTCTTGCTGGGTGGCCCTAATTGGTCTTGCAGCTGGATTCGCAAACCTGCACTGTGCATGCTACGTAGACCCACTAGAGGTCAGTGCGTTGACCCCATTTAAATGCGTTTACAAATTGTAAACGCACCTTTTTGTGAGTTTACGATTGGCGATCATGATCGCCGTTTTTCGGTGATTCTACAAAAGTGAGAAAGGACACAACCGTGTTTTAAACTAAACGCGTAACAGATGCCTGATTCTGGCCAGAAAAAGTTAAGCATAAACACGCCCTAAGTTCCCAGCCTTGAAATACATGCAAAATACTTCACTGATGCCATTTAAATCCCAAATCCTGACCTCTGCGATATCACGATCGTTAGCTATAAACATGAATACATGTGCGTACTAGATTCATTAGCTTCATAAACAAAGTGAAACCCAGTCGTTGTTCCAAAGCATGGCCGACAGTAAAGTCTCAGTTTTTGTTTAGTGATTTTGTTTCTAATTATGTACATTATTTGTTAATAATGTATTTTTTTTTATTTTTTAAATTAAAAATAAATAAAATTGGTTAAGCGAAAACCATCTGGTTTTGACTGGCGGTTAAACGGAATTGGAGATATCCGTGATGTTACAACACTAGTAATGATCTACCTCTGGACAAATTTTTAAAACCCACCACTAGCTTTCTATAGATGAAGTTGCTAAAATGGAGAAATATTTGTTATTGAATGGAAAATGTGAGTGAAAGTTTTGGAGAGGGAACAAGAATCCACAGACTTAATTGTTCTGTATTAACTTGTCTATAGTTTATTGGTAAACATAAGTATACTACCAGCATATTACAAATAGCCAGAGATCAAAGTATGTTTTGCAATTTGCATACGTGTCACATGTAAATGCCACTTAGTGCTGACATTGACTATACATACATGCCCAAGCTTTAGTTAGGGGTGTTGACAATAAATTTGTAAAAGGGAAGTTATTTCAAATATTACAGTACAAGGCCTAGGGGAGGATGGATAAAATTGGGTAAGGGTGGGTGAAGAGGTGAGAAAAGAACTGACTTTTTGTAAAAGGAATCTTGGGCTTGGGTCTGTGGAAAATGTGTTACTTGGTTTGGGTCAATATACAGGTGTACATCATTATTGAAAGTGATGATGATGATGATACTATTATCGTTAATAATAATAATAATAATAATTAGTCATGATGATAACAATAAGATAATAACAACAACAACAATAATAATAGTGATAATGATATCAATATCAATAATAATAATGTTAGTTTTTACACCATTTGGTGCCATTAAATACAGGCACGTAGCCATGGTGGGCACGTGCCCCCCCCCAATTTTTTTCTCCAAGATCGATTGAACTTTTTTAGACCCCTCCCCAGGACGTCGATCAATTACATGTATGTGCCCCCCCCAAAAAACATCAAACTCTGGCTACGGCCCTGATTAAATATACTTACAGTTTATGGAAAGGCAAGAGAATAATAATGATAAAATTTACTTTATTAATGATACATTTTATTCATCAAATTTGGATAATGAAATTGTAGACAGGATCATGTGATGGTTGCTAATGTGAGAGCGATGTGCAATATTCAACGTTTCACACCAATTACGACCATCACGACCATTGAGGTCGTTTGTCAAAATCTGCTGTGTGGTATCAGTACCTTGTACATGTATGTACCATGTTTGTCTTGGATGTGCAGCAGTGCGCATGTAAACACTTGAATTGATAATAAATCAAATTTGCTCTGTTGAATCAGCTTGCAATACAATCGATTGATATGTGTAACCTGTGTAGACAAATATCATACTATTGAGGCACATCATTTTTTTTTCAGTGGGGCGAGGGGGTATTGGGTTAACTTAAATAATGTAATGTATCAGTGATTTAGTCTGTTGTACATGTAGAAAAAATTATCATAATTTTTCTTCAATTGAAACATCAATGTGGTAAATAGTTTAGAGTTCAATTTATTTGTTTCTGAGGAAAAGAAGTAAGCTTAACCATTATTCATCGACCGATCTCTTATTATCTGATGATTCTGCTAGAGGTGTGAAATTATGTGCATGTCAATTGAAATTCAAGGTATTCTAAGTTAAGGGCAAGACCAAAGTATTTTGTCATTTGGTATCCCGTAGTTACCATACTAAGGAGTGACCCTGAAGTGATATAAAATCTGTAGTTTTACTTCTTTTATCTGATCTATAACAAGCTATAGCAGGGCTATTAAATGATCAGGTATAGGCGCTACTAAAATTTTAGATGTGGTCAGTAAATTATGGTACAAAATAGCTTGGACTTGCCCTTGAATTAATCAAATCTCCTTTAATTGATTATATCCTCCAATATATGATTAGATGCATCTGTGTGCACATACAGTATGAGCAAGTAAGCCATACAGTCCTAATAACAACATAGGCTTACAGGTGTGTAGATATTTTACTTTTTCATAACCTTTGACCTTTATCTTTACAGGGCCAGGGAGCAACAAGCGACAAGCTATTGAGTACTATAGGAAAGGAGTGGATGAGTTGGAGAAAGGTATTGCAGTGGATTGTAATAAACCAGGTAGGAATAATTAAAATGATAATGATATTAATAATAGTCACATATGTAGTGCTTAATAGTTTTGTTTAAAGTGCTTTACATTTTAATTATTATTACCCCGGTCAATGGTTTTAATCCCTTATCCGCACATGATAGTGCACACGCTTCCCTGGGGATTATTCTGGCCAGGAGCCATTTTACAAGCGCACACATACCAATCCAACCTCATGGTTGTACCCATTTATTACCTGGGTGGAGAGTGGCAAATGTAGATTAGTTTCTTGCCAAAGGACATTAGTGCTGCGATGGGACTCGGAACGGCAAACCATGTAATCCACAGTCTGTTGACATATGTGCTAGACCACTACACCTCTACAAATGCAGCATTAGATTTTAAAAAATATTATTAGATTTCTGATTTGTTTTCTGTAGTAGTATATTTCTGTTTGGAGCCAGAAGAAAGGCATCAACTCATATACTTTGACATAGAATTGATGCCCTTCTAGCTCTGAACAAATGGATGCAATGTTTGAAAGAGGGCTTATCTGCTGAGACTGGAAGGATATCATTAACTCACAATTAAATTTACACCCTTCTGGCTCTCAACAGACAGTTGTCAATCTCACAGCACCATACTACATTTGTTAAACATGTATGTTAAAATGTATGCTTATTTCTAAGGTAAAATACCTTCTTTTCACCATTATACAATTTTATGCACAACAGTGCTTCACTGCCATATGGGTGTGTTTGCTGTGATGTAAAATGGTACAGCAGCCCGCTGCAAATAGAAACCAAGCTTTGAGGAGGGAAGATAATGCTGACCTTTTCCGAAACTGGCTTTACATTAACTATCATGAGTGTAAAAGAAAACCGCACTGTCCTATCTACTTCTCTTTCCAATTACCGAATCTAGAGAGTATGTGTACATCATTGAGTCTGACTCTCAGTTAACATAGGAAACTGAGATTGGATGGAGTGTTGTGGGAATGGCAGAGAGGGAAAAGGGATAGATGGAAAAGTAGATGAATTCTGGATGGATGTGGAAGAAGTGGAGAAGATTGAGAGATAGTTCAAGAAATGCAAAAGAGGAGGGAAGGTTGACAATTAATATCTGACAATTACAACAATTATAATTTGATTAGGGTTTTATATAGGGGATTAGAAACAAAATGAAAAGTGACATCAATTTGAGAAGGATGCATTTGATTTTAAAGCAGTCTTAGGAATATGAGTAATAAGGAAGAGAGTCACTCATCAAGGCCTTTCAAATGATATCAATGATATGATACAAACACACTTTCAGACACTGAGCTTGTTGTAAACACAGTTAGCTTCTTAACAAACGTTATTAAATCAATCAAGTTGTTATGAATTTAGAAAGCAGAAATGAGTCTTTGAAGGAAAGTGAGGTTAATTGGCCAGAAATGATGAATTGCTACCCAGCTGTGATGGTGTAGTTAAAGACTAGTCATCAATCAATATCAAATGAGAAATATACAACCCTAATTCAATCAAGTAATGAGTAATGATGGCAGGCACTATACAGTCAGTTGAAGTTCAAGGAATAAAATGAAATGACAATTTCAATTGGATTTTATTTTAATCATCATGTTCAGTGCCTGGTACCATTTGACTAGTGACATAAACAAAAAATCATAACAGAGCGATAGCAATTTGCAAACAAAAGTGACCAATTCCGACGCAATTCTGATGAAAATTTCTTGTTGTATTTGCCAACTTATTATATGTATATTTTATGTTTTAGGAAAAGTTTATCATTAAGATGAAGAGTAACAATTAATGTGTTTCTAGTGACCTTTGACTTTCCCTATTTCATATAGGCCTACTTAGATAAAATCTAAATGTATGTGCATTCATGATTATAACATGTAGGCCTTCATGTACTTTACCCCCAGTCATTTTACACATTTGAAAATGATATTTTTGGGCTATTCTCTGTATATTTTGTATGGTATTTAGGTATTTGTCTTCTATTTTCTTATGGATAGAAATGGAACATTCTTTCTTCATTTAATCTTCATCATATATGGTAGTAGGAATCAGATTATTTCTCTTTTTGTTAAAGTTCATTCCAAATTATTTACCAGATCTGTACTTTCTCTCCCTGCATCTATCAAGTCATCTGAGAAGATCCGTCCATTAAAATGTACGTCCTTCTCAGGTTTTATATTCTGAAGAAGGCCCCCAGGCGTGATATGAATGATATAAATAGCTGTGCTGCTATGAATAATTGAGAAGTCAAGTCACTCATCTTTTCTGCTCCATTTCCACTCAAGCATCCAGAGTTCCAGACCTCAGTGACCAGTATTGTTGAGGCGTATCGGTCAATTGACCAGTTAGGAATCCACTTTAGGAGTAAGGGTCACTTTAAAGAATCAGAGAATGCCTTTGATTTGTAACCTGGAACTCAATAAATATAGTTCATACATGTCAATTTTTATATTGCAAGCCAATAAATTCTCTTGTGAGCCAAAAGGGTGTTAACTACCGTGTGAGTCAAAAAAAAAGTTTACACCTATAAAATTGCTAATCATTTTTAAAATCATCTATGAACATTAAATTATTATACATCTTATGAAAGAGTGTTTTATCCCAAATCATTTGGTATCATTTTTGTGTGGTATGTGTTCACGCTTGGATGAACAGGTGGCATTGTTTGCGAGAGTGCAAAAATCGATTTGCGCCAAAGTGATGCCTACAGTATGTATTATGTTGGGATTAGCGGAGTGAGAGAATGAGTATCAAATGAATGCATTGCATATGTTTTTTGCAAAAGGCAAAGTCGCACACACCCACACACACGCACACAAAATATTTGTTGATATTTGATATTGGATATTTGATATGTGTGGCATGATTTATTTTGTTAGGGATGTTATTTAGATCTGCAAAGACTGAATTAATACCCAAATCCCGATTGTTTTATTTTATACATCACATAGGCAACTTTGGCGCAAGTCGATTTTTGCACTCTCGCAAACAATGCCTCATGTTCATCCAAGCGAGAACACATACCACACAAAAATGGTACCAAATGATTTGGGATAAAACAATCTTTCATAAGACATATAACAATTTAATGTTCATCAATGATTTTTTAAACAATTAGCAATTCTCTAGGTGTAAACTTTTTGCAGTTTTAGCACATTTAGTAATTTGTAAGTTATCTCCTAGCTCTCAGCACCCAGATTTCCAAACTTTAAAAAAATCTTGGTTTTGTGTAGAGTGTAGAGCTGCACAAACCAGTGCTTGAAATTATAAATCAGTTGTGTATATATACAATGTGTACAAATAGTGTGAAATACACCCTGCTTTGAGAGATTCTAGTTGAATTTGAGGAGTGAAGATGATTGTACTATTAGTACTATTTCCTGACGGTGCAATCCCATTAGGAAATAGGAGTATTGCAGAGACCGAGACCCTGTAGAATCAGCTGGTGGCAGAAATTAAGGTAGGGTGTATTTATACCCCTCATCTTTGCAGTGTTACCGCATTTTGCACTAGTAACTTTGAGAAAGTTGTGACTTAATCATTGGCCAATGAGCAACAAGTGGCATAAAAAACATAATTTTCAGCAAGGCAAGCTCGCTTTCCACTAAAAACATTTCTCTGCAAACTAACAAATGAAATATGAAAAAATAACCTACTTTGACATCACAGATATGAAAAATAGTAAAGGGCTTGCTTTCTATGACTATGAGATATTCATGTTCATGCATGTACATTGTACAATCACATTAATTGCTCATGACTAATCCATGCACAAGAAATTTAGCATGAGGGATATAATGGAATATATCATTAATTCATGAACATTTTATAGGCTTTTCTAATCCAATCTAAATTGGAAAATTGATTATAATTGACACTATTCAGAATAGTGTATTGATGTAACATGCTGCCGTCTATTAACTGGAGAAAATGTGCTATAAAAAAGTGAGTGACAGCCTCTTTACGAGGGTAGCTGTATATCCCCAGGGCACAGTCATTAGGGTTAGAAGCGATGTATCTGTATGTGTGTGTCACACATTAGCTGAACATTAGCTGAACATTAGCCTCGCATGACTCTTATCAACCCATCCGTTCGTAACAACTTGTGGCTACGTGTCTCTGAATTTAACGAGATGGATAATTGAAACCTCTCGCTCTCGTTAATCAATAAACTTGCATGGTGTGTATGTATGCGAGGGCACGTGTGCTTATTTCTGGGAATTTCAATCAATGCAGAACATTTCTGAATGTTAAACATTCTGTGTTGTCATTAATTGGACTGTTTAAACTTTGAAGTATCAACAATTCTTCATGAAAAGTTTGAGATTGAATACAAATAAGTTCAAAGACACTTTCTAACATTGTGAAAATCCAGTCAAAAATGAGATAAGAAACAAGATA